TTAGATGAATATAAAATGGCAAGTGAGATGGTTTAAAGCAAAACAGTGCCCATCTAAATGCTAATGCTAAAATCAGATATTTTTGCTGTTCACAAACGCTCCACTAAAGGTACGTTTTCAGGGACAGGAAAAAGACCATCATGCAAAGAGCTTTAGCTTAGAAAAGGACATCTCACACCCACAAATCCAAAAAGGTTTCACAAAGCAGATTTTACTCATTGAACTTTCTCTAAACTTTGCACATACCAGACTGAACTTTTGCATTCCCATTTGCATTAACCATGCAAAACATCTCCTGGGTTGGCTCAGAGGGGAGCTTATCCTGCAGTTATTCATACGGGTTTTGAAGCTGTAACCTCCTTTATTTCCTAACACATATTCCAGCAATTTGTCCAAAATAAATGATCTGCACTGCATCCCTGCTGCACACAAGTTGATCCTTCGCAGTACTGCTGGGGGGTTCCTGCTTACCCACAGACATCTGCTCTGTAAGACACTGCTCTGACCAGCGCCAGCGCGGGGATAAAATGCTTAACATTGCTTTAGGGTCTACACAGTGATCAATTCTATGCAATACTCCTTTCAATGTTTAACTTAGCACTGGCTACAGTGATTTCAGGCCTTTGAAGGCTGGGAACTAAGTATAAATTTAGGCTAAATTATTTCTGCTTTGACAAAGTTGTGGCAGCCCGAGCACAACATCTATCCCAAAATCAGCCAAACCGTCACAGCACCACACGGCTATCAAACATCCTGAATAAAAACTATCAGAAACAAATACATTGAAAGCCACACAGCAACATAAAGTTGCATAAATCGTGCCTTTAAAAATAATTTAAAAAGAATGTGCAGCCTTTTTTCGTGTGCCATTTGTGGCACATTTCCCACAGAAACGCCTCTCACCGCAGTTTTTATAGTAATAACAGTGGTTGCCTGGTTCCATCCTCTCTGACGAACTACACCTTTCTGAACCCCACGGCGCACAGAAGGCTGACACGACCCGCACACAGCTGGCAGAGTCCCAACCCAACCAACACAGCACTCAGTTCCACTCCGGCCACCCCCACAGCCGCTGCTGCTCTCTGCCCTGGGAATTTCAGTCCTGCAGAGGCATCAGCCCTCGGCCCCTCGCTCCCCAACCAGGCTCACTGCCTTCTTCTTATTACTGTCGTTATTTTTACGAACCCCACCAGATGGCAGCAGCACGTCTCCCCAGCAGAACAGCGCTTTGCGAAGGACAGCTCCTCATCCCCAAAACACTCACAACACTTCCAAACATCTGATGCGCGTTTTGAAACGTGGGGCACGGACTTTTTGCTGAAACTAAAATCTGGTTGATTTTTTTCCCAGCACGTCAAGAATGTGCTGGCAGGGAGCAGGTGAAGGACAAAGTGTCCCGCTGGCAGCAGGACGGGTGCGCGGTGCGGGCAGCACCTGGGGAGCAGCACAGACCTGCAGGAGCTGCTTCCCAACTGCGGGACAAGCTGCAGCTTCTGGACAACACAACACATCTCAGAGGTACGATGGACTCCTTCAGGTACGTCAACCGTCTGCAGAGCAGCACTTCTCACCAATGTACAGATATGAGCCCTTTGGTTATTCGTCAGCGCCAACCGATGCTCAGACAGAGATACAGATATGCAATAGAACCCTCACACACAATTAGCCTGGGCCTTGTGTTACTGAATTTTTCATGTTACACTTGTACCAAAGGATGCATTTTTCATGCCTAACTTGAACTGTAAATACCCAAATCGATGTTCGTGTCGGGTTCTGTTATCCCATATAGCCAGAACTGAGTTATACAGGCACTCCTGTTTGGAACGAAACCTAAAATTCAGCTTACCTCTGCTTACAAGGCCTGCTCAGCTCAGCACTGCCCCACCCACAAAAGTGAACGTGAAACACCAAAGGCTGCACAGTGAGCACAGAGTTCAGCTACACGTGAGCAAAGAGGAACTGAATTCCACCCATCACGTTCTCAGTCTGCACACCCTTACAGCTTTAGCACAGCAGCTCTGCAAGTTCCATCCCACGGCCGTGGGGTAGCAGAGGAGCCTGGTGCTGCTCTGCCGCCCTCTGCCCGGGGCAGACCCTCATCCTACACTTCTCTTCCCCCAGTGCTCTCAGTACTGAATATGCAAATGTAACCTTTTATTCCACTGAATGTTATGAACGCAGATCACTCTTTGTACCTTTTTTTTTTTTGGCAGATAAAACTGGGAAAAATAAAGACCGGAAAATTACACGCAGGTAAACAAAGTGTTTGAGCCAACTGCTAACAGGGTCTGATCTTACATAATGCTCCCAATTTAAGCAAGCTAGCAACAACTGAGATGAAAAACCACACTTTAACAAGAAAAAATACAACAACAGATGAAAATAATCTTTAAAGTTTTCTTTGCAGCTTTTACTCTTTCCTGGACTTTTTTTGAACACTTCAGCACAGCAGAACTGGAGCAATGCTGCCTGTGCAGCAGCACCCCCAGCTCCCTGCTGCCAGCACTAAACTCCTGCATTAAGGGACACAGAGCAGTCACTGCATTCAGCTACGCCTCTCCTGCGCAGCAATCCCAGCCGACGCGGTGTGACAAACACCGGCCTGCTCTAAAGGCAGGGCCACCAGCTATCGATGCGGGCCGTCCCGTTCTGCCCCGCAGCCCCGCTGCTCTCGGTGACAGCGCAGCGCCCGCAGCCAAGCAGGAGCTGCGCGGGGCCGCACCGCTGACCTGCTGCAAACTTGGTGCCGGCGAGGCAGGAAGTGCGCAGCGACGCGCCTGCTCTCACAACAAAACCCCGGCGTCCCTTCTGCTGCTCCCAGACGGCCACAGAGCACTGGGAACCTGGCAGCAGCTCATCCGAAAAACAATCAAAAACCACGCTAGCTTCGCTCCAGTGATCCTGACGGGCAGCTATGACATGCGTGAAGCGGTCACAAAATATATTAGAAGAGATTATGACCCACTGAGAAAATCCTGCGACATAGCAGCTGAGAGAGTCGAGGTACTGCAGCACAGTACAGGACAGAAAATCCCATTTGCATTTACGAGAGGAGAGCAAAGTTCAGGCGCTCTGTTTCAGGCAGCCTCCCAGGCACGGCTCCCGGCAGGTGACGGGGGCAGGAAGACATTTTCAGCCGCTTTCAATTCTAGCTCTTAAGTCAGGTCAGAATACATCTTCTAATGTTTGTAAACCTGAAATCTTAGCAGGTGCGGCTCAGCCACACAGCACGTACGTTCTAAGGAAACGTGCAGGAGGTGCACAAACACGCTGCTTTTGTCCTAATCAAGACTGATGGTGCGGCCTGATAACAAGGGGTTGTTCTTCACCTCGCCCTGCCAAGAGAAACAAGAGAACCCAACTTTCTAAGAAAGGAGAAGAGCCAGCAAAGAACTGGGCAGCTTTCTTCTATTCTGGATCAAATGAGAAAAAACAAGAATGAACTATGATTTGGTAGAAAAGAATGTAAACTCGGTTCAGTTTTTTCTCTACTCACCAGACGACACCAAAGGCTCCGTATCCAATAGGTCTGTCCGGCTCAATATCCAGCTGCTGCTGTGGATGTTGTGAGTGCTGATGATGGTGCGCTTTGACCGCAGCCGCGGCTGCAGCTTGTACCTGAGCTGGGGCGGCCGCCGCTGGTCCAGGGGCCTGGCCCGGTGCCGGCGATGGGAAATATGGCTGCTGCTGCCCGGGGTTCAACATCGCTGCCGCCGCCGCCGCCGCCGCCGCGGCCGCAGCTGCCGAGGAAGCGTGCTGCTGCACGGGATGGACCGCGGGCGCGGAGCTGGGGTGCAGGTGGTGCTGAGGGTGGTGGTGGTGATGGAGGTGAGGAGGAGGGAGGTGAGGGAGGTGGTGGTGATGGTGGTGGTGGTGACCTGCCGCTGCCGCAGACGTACCGCCATTGTAAGCCGCCATCATTTTTGCGTTGGCCGTCGCGCCACAAAGAGACATTCAAAAAAATGCCCCTTGACCGGCAAACGACTGGGTCAAGCTGTCATTTGGCCATCAAAAAATGAGATTTGCTACACTTTAAAGGAAGTCGGGTTCCATCATACGCGGCCCACCTGCGAGAACATCGAGCTCAGCGGGCCTGATCTCTTGGCGAAGCCACACGGCGTGGAGACTCTTCATGTGCACGAGCCCGAGCGCCGACCCACCGCCCGCGGCGCTCACTGGGGCTCCATCCCGGGCAGGGCCGCGGCGCGCCGGGCTCTCCGCGCTTCGCTTCCGAGGAAGGGGCGCTCAGTGCCCCGCGCCCGGGGGATGAGGGGCCGCCGCCCGGGGACGCCCTGCGCGGGCCGAGCCTAGCCCTGCCATGCCCACATCCCCTCGGAGCGCCCCGCGCCTCCTACATCGCTCCCTCCGCTCGCACACCTGCTCCCTCCGCCACAGCCAACAACTCGGGGAGTTCGCAACTTTTCCTCGCAGGCCCTGAAACATACACAGCAGCCGGGGAGAGTGAGGGGCGCGCGGGCGGCGGGGCGGGCGGGGCGGGGGGAGCCGACGGG